CCGACCAGGGCGCCGACCCTTCCCTCCCGAAGTCTCGGCTGCTCCGACGACCTGATACCGCAATTACGGACCCACTTCTCCTCTCCTGCAACGCGTCCATGTGTTCTCCCAGCCCGAGGGAGACTGTCCAGGTAACGACCAGACAGCTGGCGTAAGGCAGCTGGCCCCGGCCCCAGCTACCACCTACGGCTTGCCCACGGCCCATGTCGATTCAATTCGAGCTTTTTCAGAAAGTCCCACGCGAGCTATCAGCCAGTGGGCACCGACGCCAGCCGTGGTTGGTGATGGAGGCCAACATGGAGGCGGCGCAGCACCACCGTGGCCCAACGGCGTGGGCGTCAGCGGCTGCGGCCGCTCAGACGCCCGTCGTGGAGCAAGTAACGATCCAGAAACCAGCAGACCGTGGACCAGGCGACCAGGTGTCCAGGTCCATGAGCTACGTTCTCGAAGTCTGCCACCAGACGCTGCAGTCAACGGGCGAGAAGCACGAGGACCGCATCAAGTACAACCAGCAGGTACTCTACGGCTCCTACAAGCAGCTGGACCGCATCACCATTAGCCTGGCGAGGGTCATGTCCAGCAAGAGCTGCGACCAGTACGACGAGATGGAGAGAGCCCAGCCGTCGAGCTCCTGAAGTTGCAGCAGGCAGAGATTTCGTCGGCCATCGAGAACTGCCGCAACGTCGACGGGGTCTTGAGCAGCCAGAGCGGATTGGTCGAAGGCCCGCACCCGGGAGAGCACGACTACACCAGTCTCCAAGCCGACGAGTTTGAGGGAAAATGCGCTACATGGACGGAGTCCGAGCATGGCTGGGGCTACGACGTGGTCGCCACAGCGGAGCAGGGCCACGCCGACACAAGGGGAACCAGCAAAACCAGCGCCTGAAGTGCACGAGCCCAAGCCCTGCCATCCAGGGCTGGATCCCATACGTCAAGGTCCAGGCGGCCGCTCGGCTGCAACCGCCGCCGCCGCCTGGCCTGCCAGTCGAGCCGAGCGCCAGTGGGGACATCCGCCTCCGCGACGCCAATGTGGCCAGGGGCAGGGTGGTGTCTCGGCAGCGTGTCGCGAGTGAAGCAGCAGCAGCAGCAGCGTCTCCTTTCTTTTTCTTGAGCGAGGCCCCAGTCAGAGAGGGGTCGAACGCATGGTATCCATCTGCCAACGAGGCTCCTAGCCACGTTGCGCGTTTAACCGTGTCCGAGAAAAAGGGTGCCTCCTTGGCGCCGGGGCGGCCGCCTCTTTTCTTGTGCCGTGAGCAGCGAGATGAGTGCGGGGGGGAGGGGGCGAGGAGTGAGCGGGGGGGAGTGCTCTCAGCGGCCGAGGGCCCGCCTCCAACGGGGGGCGCCCGAGGCCGCCCGCGTCCGCGCGGGCTTCGTACCGAGGCAGGGTCGCCCTGCCAGCGGCGCATCGGCTGAGGCCGAACGCGCCAGGCAGCTTCCGTCCGTCACCACGGCCAGGGGCCAACATCCATGTGTTTACCCAGGGGTCAGCGTGCCTCTTAGGTGGGCGAGGTGGCCAGAGCCCCGGCGACCTTGTCCTTATCCTTATCCTGTTCCCCTTCCTCTCCCTCCCCCTCCTCCTCCTCCTCCTTCTCCTCCTCCTCTTCCTCCTTCTGGTAGCAGCACGAAACCAACCGTAGACAACGTCTGGCGCTTTCGGCGCGCGGAAGCGCTGTTCTGTCGTTGACGAGTCGTTTGTTTTCGTTGTCTTGGTAGGAAACACGCACACGCTGCGTCTGTTGCTGTTGTTGCTGTTGTTGTTGTTGGTGGTGTTGGTGTTGTTGTTGTTGTGGCTGTTGTTGTTGTTGTTGTTGTTGGTGGTGGTGTTGTTGTTGTTGTTGTTGTTGTTGTTGTTGTTGTTGTTGTTGTTGTTGCTGTTGTGTGTGTGCTTTGCTTTTTGTTTTGCAAGTCCTGGTGCTCGCCGCGGCCTGCCTGCCAGCGCTCTCCTCTGCGCCTCCCAGACCAAGGAAACGAAGCGCGCGCGCAGTAGTTGGCGCCCTCAGTGCAAGGAAGCGTTGTTTTTAGTTACCTTGTTTGTGTTTTGTGTGTGTGCGTGCAAAAAGAACGCGTTTTTTTTTGGGGGGGGGGAATGCTCGCCGCGGCCCCCTCCCAACAGTACTCCCTGAGCCTACTCAGCCAAAACGCATCAAACCATGCGCAAGGCTTCATTGTTTCCCAGATCAAGGTGAACCAACACATACAAACGTACACAGCGTTTCCTGGCGCCGAGGGCGCCGAACGCTGTGCACTTATATTCATTGTTAGTTTTTATATATATATATACATGTATGTGTATGTATGTATGTATGTATGTATGTATATATATATATATATGTATGTGTATATATATATATATATATCGACACAATGGGATGGGCTGAGGGGGTGCGCTGAGAGGGAGGCGACCAGGGGGCGACGACGACGACGCAACACTTGTTCTCAATAGGGGCCAGCACAGATTTGCGAGGGACCATGCAGCGGGCTAGCGTTTCATCTTGGGCTCAGGGGCGCGCGCAACCTCGGCGTCGTGGGGGTGCGTTGATGTCGCTGGGCGGGCCATTCTTTCTCGTCGTCGCCTTTTGGCGCCACAGGGCGTTGACATGGAAGTCCGTCTCGACCACGGGGTATAATTGTGGAAACACCTCCTTGCGCTTCTTGTCCAAACGGGCCGCTTTACGGCGCTTGTTGCGGGACTTGTCGTGATTCCGCCGGGTTTCGCCTTTTAGGGCGCCATTTTTTTGCGGGGTCTGCCCCTGCCCTCAGGCTTGGGCATTGCTGCGCTGCTTGGGGCCGCGCGCCGTTAACGACAACATCGGGATGAAAATGCGGAGGGGGAGGGGGATGCTACGCTGCTGCCGCGTGCCTCCGTTCTAACCCCGAGCCCTGGCGTGGAAGCGTTTTCTTTCCCTCCTCCTCCTTCCTTTCCTCTTCCCCATGTTCATCGTCCTCATGATTTCCCCCCCCCCTCATGCTCCCTATCGCCCCGTCCTCCTCTTCCTCCTCCTCTTCGTCCTCTTGTCATCGTCCTCCTTTCTCCGTCCCCTCATTTCCAAGTGGGGCTGAGATCCAGCGTGGCTTGCAATGACCAGCAAGAGTACCACTATCAACGCCTTCAATCCGAGGCTACGCTGCCCTGCGAGAGGAGCAGGTGATGAGGAGCTGGAAGGGAAGACGGACTGATGCGGGAATGGGCGGAACGACGAGCGGGAATCGAAAGTGCACGGGGGGGTGTTGGGAGGGGGGGTGATAGGTTTGTACGTATGTATGCATGTATATATGAATATTTTCATGTATGTAAATAGAAATGACAATACTACAGGTGTGTGCGTGCGTGTATGTATGTTTACGTACCAGCATCTGCATCTGTATAGGCGTATGCAGATGTGTACGTTTATGTTTATGCTTATGGTTATGATTATGTGTATGTATATGCATATGCATGCTTGTGTATACGCATATGTATGTGCATTCGTATGTATATGTCTGTGTGTGTACGTAGCTATGCGGGTGTATATATCTATATATAAATATATATAGCTGGATGCATGTGTATACGGACATGTGCTTACACGTGTGCATATATGTATGTGTGTGGCTATAGATGTGTGAAGTTGTATATGTATGCGTATTCGTGTGCATGTGTCAATGCGTGTGTGTACACATATTGGTATGTATATGTGTACGTAAAGGTATGTGTATGGGTATAGTTACATGTCCACGTATATGTATACGTATGTATAGGTATGTAGGCATGTGTACATGCACATATACAATATTGTGTACATGCATATGCATATGCTAATGTATGGGTCTATGCATAGGTAAATACAGATGTATATGCACATGTATGTGCATGAACATGTGTAAATGCATGGGTGTGTGCACATGTATATGTATAGGCATATGTATATACATATTTGAATGCATGTGTTTTTGTATACGTATATGCATATGTACATGTATGTTGCTTTGCATATGCATCGGGATATGCATGTGCATATGCATAAACATATACACATACATATACATATATACACACGCATATGTGTATATATACATATATCTATGTATATATGCACATGCGTACGTAGATGGTTATGTACATGCATATGTATGTGTTCCCTACCTAGGCTCTGCCTAGAGGATTCTTACTCTCGTTCCTAAAGGGGTCGGGTAGTGCACACCGCCCCGGGCGGTTCCCCCAGTATCCGCCCCGCGGTTCCCCCAGTTACGTCCCCTCAGCTCAGTGTTGCTTATCTTATATTAGCTTAGCTTATTTCATCTTAGCTTAGCGTAGCTTCATCTTAGCTCAGGTTTAGCTTAGCCTAGCCTAGCTTAGCTTAGCGCATCGCAGCATTAGCACAGCATAGCATAGCATAGCATAGCACATCATAGCATAGCATAGCGCAGCATAATATAGCGCATAGTATAGCGCAGCATAGCATAGCATAGCATAGCATAGCGCAGCATAGCGTAGCATAGCATAGCATAGCTTAACTTAGCATAGCTGAGCATCGCATAGTGTAGCAAGTGTTGCACCACCTTGCTCAATGCCAAGTCGTGCGGTGTAGACCGGATACGTAGCATTCTCAAGCACACCCGATGAGCGAATGCCAACACATGCGTGTGTGTGTGTGTCTGTGCGCAGGCAAAGCAAACGCAACATCAAGCAACAGCGAAACAAAAGCAAAGCAAATGCAACAGCAAAAGCAAAAGCAAAAGCAAAGGCAAGGCAATGCAAAGCAAAAGCAACACCAATGCGAAAGTGCAGATGTAGATGTAGATGTAGATGTAGGTGTAGGTGTAGATGTGGATGTAGGTGTTGATGTAGATGTAGATGTAGATGTAGATGTAGGTGTAGATGTAGCTGTAGGTGTAGATGTAGATGTAGATGTGAGTCTCGCTGTTGATGTTGGTGTATATGTAGATGCAGATGTAGATGTTAATGTAGCTGTCGGTGTAGATGTAGGTGCTGCTTTCCTAAATGCTCCAACTCCTAGGTCGGGTCGCACTGGGATAATATGTGTTTTTGCATGCGTAATTGGAACAGTATGTTTGTATGTATGTATGTATGCATGTTTGTATGTATGTGTATACATCTATACATATATATGTGTGTAAATGTATATGTATATGTGCAGTTCCAGCACGAGAATTGGGGATAGGGGTCGGCTCGCGGATGTTCAGTCGAATGAGCGAGCAGGGACGGCGGAGCCGGCGGCGACCGATAACGGCCGCCATGAGCCGAATCCGAGGAAGGAGTGCCCGCCAGCTGAAAACATCAAATCGTCTGAGATCTTGGACGACGTCACCAGCAGCCGAATGCGGGGTTGGCGACGGCTGCTGCGACGATGCCTGCGGCGGCGCCGCCGCTGCCGGCCGCCGAAGGCACCGCCGCCTTGGACGGCGGCGGCTGCGACGACGACGACGACGACGGCGACGGCGACGGCGACGGCGACGGCGAGGCCGCCGTGGACGCGGAGCCCTGCGCGCGCTCGGCGCCCAGCGCGCCCGCCGAGCGTGGCGCCGAGCAGGCGCCCGAAGTCTCCGCGGAGCGGCCGCGGGCGCCCGTGGTGCCGCGGGTGGCGCTGCTTGCGGACAGGGGCCGCTCGGCACCCGAGGTGGGGGCCCCCGGATCCGTCGTGTCTCGGGGGGGGAAGGGTCGGGGGCAACGTTGTGTCGGCGCCACCCCAACATGCTTATGCCATGTGTGCGTCGCGCCCCCAGGGGCGACGCGCGCACCGAGGAATCTTCTGGTATCTGCGTCGTGGCGGGCGCTTTTTGGCCACCCCGCTCGGGAAACGATGTACTACAAGATGGGTATATTATATGTTCGGGTCGGACGCGCGCCTCCGAGGAGGACATCTAGTATTAGTATGTTTCTGTGCTTCCCATGATGGGGTTATCCTTAGGGAGGCAACATTCGGGGGGCAACGTTGCGGGGGCAACAGGGGGGAAAGAGACATCGGGGGCAACGTGGGGGGCGCAGGATCGGGGGGGGGGGGATGCATTGGGCCCACGCTCGCCATTTTCATCGCCAGTGCGGGCCCTCTCGGCGATGTGTGGGCCGCGTGGTGCCCAGGGTGGGGGCCGCGGAAACTGGAAGGGGGGAGAAACCTTGGGAGTAATAGGAGGTGCCGACACCGCTATCCTTGCCGCCTCGTTTTTGTTTTTTTGTGGGCCTCCTGGGAGGCGTTTCGTCGCCACCGCTGGCTTTGCCTCGGTCTCCTGCTCAGAACGCACCCGTGGAGAGGTCCGGGGAGCAACGGTATCCG